TTGGTATATACTCCTTTGAAAACCATATCAGCCAAGGAAAAGCATAGAGTGGGATTTCAATACATACTGGTTTTGGTAACTTATTCTATCAGATACTAAAAACCGATCCCTTTAGTTTGCTAAATTAAAGGTCCTACTGAGTTGCTGAAAGTCTTAGTTAAACATTCTTGGAGACACTAACGGCTGTGCATCAACTACATAAAATCACAATCTCTGTAGGCCTTTGTGAGCCATCCACAAAAGGGTGGTCTTGTGGACAGTTACAATGAAGGAAAAGAGAAAAGGCAGGGCAGAACAGAGCAGAGAGGAGGGGAGAGAAATTATGTCCCTGGTGTAATGACATTAGCACTATGACCAGCTGTTCCCACTGCTACCATTAGCTGTAAAGAAGATTTCTTTGTTGTCCACAGTTTCCTCCTTTCTGAACTGCCACACTGGAGACACTGTAAGAATATTTTAAATTTACAGAAATTTGGAATAAACTGGTAATTCAAATTTTGGGACATATTCAAGGTATGGGGAGAGAATCTTCTTATTAATCATCAGGTATGGAAATTAAACTGCTCTGTAATACTTAAATGACTCACACCCCTATAATGTTTCACAGTTTGAAACTTTGCGTACCTTATATGCTACACACTCTAAGAACTGGTGCATTTGCTGTTTCCTCTAAGTTTCTGAAATTATAGAAGTCATCACTGTGGCTTTCTATGAACATTGAAATCCTAAGAAGACTTGTTTGTAACTCCTGTCTCCCCGAGCTAGGGTTAGGAGCCAGGGGTTTTCCTGTTTGTACACCTGGGAGAGAACATCTGGAATATTTTTGCCAACGAGAAGGATGCCTTGGTCTAAGAGACAGTGGAATTTCACCAGTGTGAAATCCGCATGAGCAATTTCACAGTGATTGCACCCTCTCTCATGTGACTGACATCCATCCATGTAAACATAATGTACTTCAGAATAGTTTTGCTCACCCTGGAGTATCACCCTCAGAAGGTATCTGCCTGGATGCACGCTAATGATCATGCCAAATGGCAGCTGAGATCTGCCAGCTCGGCTCAGGAGAAAGGGCTCCAGGTTCCAATTGCTGCAAAACGTGTGGCAAAAGAAGCTGGATGAAACACAGAAGGTGGAAGAGAGTAAAAAGGAATGGAAGGATTTCAGAAACACCACAGGTACCATGACAACATCTTTCCGTGATGCCACTACAACTGCAATTTGTCTTACAAGGTGGTTTATAAGATAGGAAAGGCATGCTAAAATGGAGGCTCTTTCAGTAAGGACCAGGAATGCTGAATGTTATATATACTGTTTCTTTATTCCACGCCAGCCATGAAATTGAGGTGCTGTCACTTGAATGAGCGCTTGTGAAGTGATAGAGGAATTAGAAATGTTGTAACACAGCACAGCACTTCCCATTTGGTATGGGGACAGAAAAGAAGCAAAATGCTCTGTTGCGTATGAAAGAAGACCCTGGCATGGATGAAGAATAAGCTGCTGTCACCTGTAGCCCATTCCAGACAGTGCACTTAGAAGACATGAAGCGTGCATGGCTGAGCTGAGGACTCTGGTGAGTTTACTTAAGATCCTTTGCAAGCAGCAGTCAGCAGACAATTGTTCCAGTCTTTGTTTTGTGGGTACCTGAGGGCACTGGCCGCTTCAAAGCGCTGAAGAGAACAGCGTTAAAAGTACCGCAGAGACTCCATTGCAACTGGTCAAAACCTTCTTTCTGAGGAACGAGCAGTAAGACGGGTTTATGTTTCAATTCCTGAATCATCACTTTTCAATACAAATACTGCACTTTACGTGCTGGGACCCAACATGCTAGTAGTTCTACTGTGAGAGACTGGATCCCCACACTTAGGTAGAGCTCTATTACCTGAAGGGGCTACAGATACATTGACAGCAGCATGTTGTCATGGAAGATTAGCATTACTGACATTACCAAAATCGTTAGAAAAAAGTAGGAGTAAGGGATAAAAATGTACAATTTTTCATGTCACCTTACATGCAAGCACTGTCAAACATCATTATGAGTGTTTATTATAACTCATTTCCAGCTTGTTATAGCTAAGCTAATGGAAAACGATTTCAAATCTAAATGTTTTCACTGTTCTGTGTTATGCCTTTATTTGTTGAACAGAAAAAAATACTATTTTCTCTTTTTGTAGTATTTCCTCCACCCCAGGAAGGGACGGAGAGTTAAAAAGCACTGGAAAATACCTTGCCATTCACATTTTTATTTATTGAGACAACCTGCTCCCTTGCTGATGTAAATTCCTTTGATTTCAGGGGAAAAACCTACACCACACCGAAGGCTGGGGGCCACCACGGGCCGGGCAAGGGCGAGCCCTGACCACCAGCCTGGAGACAGGGAGAGCCGAGTTATCAGCAGCTGAATGTTTAATTAAGAGTTTTGCTGGGGGACGACGACCCCTTACTGATAAACTTGTCCCAGTTACCCAAGCCGTGGGCTTTCCTCTGAAAAAGAGGGGAGAGGGCAGATTAATCTCCTAGGTCAGCGCTGTTCCTCAGCACCTTCGCTCTACGTAATTTGGCCGACAACACAGGCGGGCTGAGGCGGGCTGAGGCGGGCTGAGGCGGGCTGGGGCGGGCTGAGGCGCTGGTGTACCCGAAAACCGCCTTTGGCGGACCAG